GGGTGTCTCAACCTGAGGGCTCGGTTCTGATCCGGCCCAGTTCACTCCAAACATGAAGTTAGACCTTTAACATCCCTCAGAAACAGCTTGATTGACAGGCTGCCAGATCAACAACAAAACATTCAAATGCACCAACAGTTCAGAACAGTAAAGCAGTCAGAATGTGGATCTGTTTGTTGAAGGTTACTTTGATGACATCATCCGGCAGTTTCAGAGCAGCAGGAATAGAAACCCGTCTGGACACGTTTGTGTTGGTGCAGAAGGTAAAGCTCTGCAGGATGGATACGATCAGACTCAGGCCACTCGCTAGAAAAAAAGCTCCACGTCGTTAAAACAAAATTCTGCAGTTCCTTCTTATTTTTACTATGACTCAGGAAAAAAGAGTGAGTCAGGAAAAAAGAGCGAGTCAGGAAAAAAGAGTGAGTCAGGAAAAAAGAGTGAGTCAGGAAAAAGTGACTCTGGGAAAAATGGTGACTCTGGAAAAAAGAGCGAGTTGGGGGAAAAGAGTGAAAAAAGAGTGACTGGAAAAAAGTGACTCTGGAATAAAGAGTGACTCAGGCAAAAAAAGTGAGTGAATAAAAAAGAGTGAGTCTGGAAAAAAGAGCGAGTTGGGGGGAAAAGAGTGAAAAAGGAGTGACTGGAAAAAAGTGACTCTGGAATAAAGAGTGACTGAGGCAAAAAAAAGTGAGTTAATAAAAAAGAGTGAGTCTGGAAAAAAGAGTGAGTTGGGAACAAAGAGTGACTGAAAAAAGCGTGACTCAAAAAAGAAGAGTGACTCTGAAATAGAGTGACTTTGGAAAAAGATTGACTTGGGGTTAAAAGAGTGACTCTGGATAAAATAGTGACTCAAAAAAAGAGTGACTCTGGAAAAAGAGTGACTCGGAGTAAAAATAATGACTCTGGGTAAAAAGAGTGATTCTGGAGAAAGAATAAGTTGGGGGGGAAAGAGTGACTACAGCAAAAGAGTGAGTTGGGAAAAAGTAACTGAAAAAGTGTGACTGAAAAAAGAGTGACTCTGGAATAAAGAGTGACTCAGGTAAAAAGCGTGACTCTGGAAAAAGAGAGACTCAGGTAAAAAGAGTGCCTCTGGATAAGAGTCACCCAGGAAAAAAGAGTGACTGGAAAAAGAATGACTCGGGTAAAAAGAGCGACTTGGGATAAACAAAGTGACTCTGGGAGTGACTCTGGAAAAAAGAGTGACTCAGAAATAAAGATTGACTCGGGGGATGAAGAGTGACTCTGGAAAAAAGTGAGTCAGGAAAAAAGAGTGACTGGAAAAAAAGAGTTACTCAGGAATTAAAAGGGACTTGGGGGATGAAGAGTGACTTTGAAAAAAATGAATCAGGAAAAATAGTGACTCTGGAAAAAAGAGAAACTTATATATTTTTATTCCAGCATGCAGGATCATCTTTTGACCAACAAACACATTGTAGCTTTAAAATTTTATTGCAAGAGGCGGGTGATAATGTTATAGCCTGTGTTCGTGTCCATGTATCTGTCACTGTTAGCAAAATATCTCCTGACCCACTGGACAGATATTAATGAAACTCTCAAGAAACTAACGTTTGGATGAACGTCTACAGCTGACTGATTCAAGATGGCCGTCATGGCTAATCAACTTAAGCACACACACAAACACGGCTCTAACTCCTTTTTGTGAACGTTGGGCTGAAACTGTGGTAGTAGCTGAGAGTCAGCCCTCTGAGGCTGACTGAGCTGCAGCAGCTTCAGATCTTCTCTCCACCATGATCTCAGTCTCACAGCCTGAACGGCGGCGGGCGACATGCATTCAAGCAGAGCTCCGCCTCTGGATGTCGTCGAGGACAACATGGAGTCCGTCTCTGGTTCTGCTGAGAGCAGAGACGTCCCGTCACGGACGGAGAGGTGATGTCATGCTGTGACCACCACACTCATCCTAACAGAACCTGTGGACCTTCAGGTCCAGTAGAACCTCCCTGATCACCGTAGAGCAGTCACTGCTAAACTCAAGGTTCCTGATCAGCTTTAAACTTTAACATGTGGAACTTTATCCACCTAAAATGTTCTGATGGAGTCATCAGAACCAGAACCAGAGTTAACCTGGTGCAGTTAGTCAAAGTTTTACTGGTCCAGGGCTGACCTCCTATCAGCAGGAGGCTGGAGGAGTCCAACAGATGAAGGTCTTCAAACTTCCTGGCGTTGTTCAGTCTGCTCCTCTGGTGGTTTCCATGTTTGATTTAACGTGCACGAGGAGAAGGTGCAGCTGAGCTGGTGACAGAACCACCACCACAGGTCCCATTCGTCCTGCCTGGTGGACCACAATGACCCAAAACCCTCCACAAGTCCAGAACCAGAACAAAACTACAAAAGATCTGTTGTTTCTTCATGTTTTGACTCGTTAAAGAGACTACTTAGACATTCAGAACCTCTGACGTCCACTGGACCGATCAAACGGAAAGGCCAACCAGTCTCTGAGTAGAACCTGCAGAACCACCTGACGGACCTTTCAAAGGTCTGAAAGAACTGAATGTACAGAAAATAAACCTCCACAGAACCTTTGGATTTCACGTCAGGATCTCTCATGGGTTTCATTAGAAGAACAAGAACACGTCCAGAACTTGGCCCGTCCACACAGAAGAGCATGTCTGACCTTCAAATGCTCCTTCAGAACCACTAGAACCTCCTATTTTAAAGTCCACATAGAAATTCTTTCAGAGCCCAGCGGATCATAAAAGATCAAAACCCTGTTGAAGAACCACGGCACCAGAACCTTTCCGTCCATCGTCAGAACCACATCGAACAGCTCTGAGTTCTTCTTCACTGAGACAAACCCACAGAAACCTTCTTCAAGGTTATCTCACAGGACGAATCTGTGTTCTGGTTCTGCTGAACTCCCTGGTTCTGGTTCCCGTCCTCCTCCTCAGAGATTCATAACTTATTCGTTCTCTCCGATTCCTTCCAGAGGAGCAGCGGTTTGAGATTCTTCCTGCTGGGAAATCCTTTCAGAACCGTAGGTTGTGGATTTGGACCATCGTTGAAGAACCTGAGGGTTTCCGACCCGGTTCTCTTTGGGCAGTTTTGGTACCGATAACGTGAAATCACTGAGAACATGAAAAGGTTCTCCTGAACTCTTAACAGACTGACTCGTTTACTCCGGTAGTTTTACAGAAATTAAATTCTGAAATGTGGGTCTGCACTCAACGTAAACAGAACACGTTGGTCTGCAGGTCTGAACGTGAACACACGTTCTGGACGGTCGGCGCCGTTGTTGACCCGTTTGTTTCCTGAGCTAAACGAACACACCTGTGGGTCCAAAACTTCACTGACACGTTTTGATTTCAGGTCAGGTGAGGAGAAACGTCTTTCTTCAGGACACATCTGCTGCCACGTTTGGACCAGAACCAGAACCACCAGAAAACCCGGGTTGTGTCGGAGAAACGGCCTGAAGGTGTTTGGCGGCATGCCAGGGTAAAAATAAGTTTCTGCTGCTGAATGTGGGAACGAGTGTCGAGCTGCCGGCAGGAGGTCAGGCTGCAGGGAGGTTCTCACATGGAGGTCCGGGGACCCTCCGGGGGACCCTCCGGGGGACCCTCCGGGGGACCCTCCGGGGGACGCTCAGGGCCTTTTCTGACATGCGAGAGGAAACTCCTCGGCCGTGTGTTTACGGTGCAAACGTTTTCTGACAGGGTTTGGAACTTTCCCAGATGGCGCTCGTAAACGTTCCTGATGTAACGTTCTCTTCCGAAACGCCTCGTTTGTCTCGCTGATGATGCAACAAGCAGCCAAAGTTTACTGAAGCGTATTCAACGTCCAACCCTGAACACTTCGATTTCAATGAACTTGTACCGCAGCACTTTTAATAAAAACACACACTTTGTTACATCACAGAAATCAGATAAATGCAAATTAAAGCAAAATACTTCCTGTTAGGATCGCAGCTCTCTTATTTTAAACAGCGCTGAATCTCATCTCTCATGCCATCTTACTGACACAGGATGTGTTAGGGATGACCTTCAGCTACTACCACACCGGCTTTTAGCTCCACATCTGTAAAACCTTCTGCTTTTAGCCGTTTTTGTGTTTCCAGAGGTCAGTTGGCTGAGGCAGCCATCTTGAAGTGCACTGACTCCAAAATGTAAATCAGATGTAGAAGTCCACCATGCGAGTCATCTCTGAAGGTTTCATTAAAATCTGTTCAGTGACTGAGTAGATATTTTGCTAACAGACAGACTGATGGGAACAGCACGCCCTCTGCTGGACATTTTACTGAATTTCTGAACCAAAACAGGAAACAAACTTATTATTTAGGGAAGAAACGTCTTCTCTAAAGACTTATTTATTTGAGTTTTAACTTAATCAAAAATGTTCTTTATTTAAATCCAGACAGTCTGGTCTGTCCACTCATTTAATATTAAGAAGTGATATATTTATATTTTTATTAAAATATTATTATTTATAATTATTATAATTATTGTATTATTATTATTATTAATATTAGTTTTTTTTTGTTAATTTGATTCAATATTTATGGTTATTTACTTTTTAATTTTATAAAATCTCTAAAGTTTGAAGAAAAAACAGCAAATTTCATTTTATTAAATAAAATCTATGAATAAGCAAAAGTTGTGAATAAACAAACTGATGAGTTCTTTTTGACGCGTTGAGTTAATGATTATTGATCAGGTTTGATCAAACTCAGCTTCCTGTAAATCAGCAGTTAAAGGAGTTTTGTGGTGAAGTTTCGTTTCCTTACCTGCTCAGCTTCCAGCTGGCCTTTAGTCACCCAGAGGCATTGTGGGAAATGAAGTTCGCAACCAGTTTGTACAAAAATCAAACCAGCAACATAAATCTTTCAGTAAAAAAAGTTTTTAAAAAGTTTTATTAATATAGTAAATGTTCGGTTAATAAAGGACGTGTTTCCTGTGAGGGAGGAGCCTGTTTCCATGGTGACGGAGTGGTTTAATGTTTACAAACCAACCAGGAAGTGGACTCTGACCTCAGGTGTTTCTGCAGCTCAGCCTCAGTTCTCTGAGGATCAGAGTGGACCTGAAACGTTCTGCTGGAGAACGTGACGAAGGAAGGTTCTGCTGTGGTTCCATTGAACACAGGAACCCATAAAAGAGAGAGAAAAGCCCGGCAGAACCTGCAGCTGCCGCTCATCTTCATCAGGGTTTGAGATGAAGCTGCAGGTGAAGATTGAGCTGCTGAAGTTCAGCTTCGCGGTGCTGAACTCCATCTTCCTGGTGAGCTCCTGAGTCACAACACGAAACATCTGGATTGTCTGCTGCGTGTTTGAAGAGTCTAACGAGCATTAATCTGATGTGGTTTCATGAAGAACGTGGACTTTGTCTCTTCTGTGTTCAGGCTCTGGGCCTGAGTGTCGGCGGCTGCTCCATCTGGATCCTCTTCGACTCAGGAAACCTCCTGAACGTCCTCTCCTCCGGTACCGAACCTCCACATTTACCCCGGGTGGGAAAATAGGAATTTTAAATCAGAAAGAAATAAAAAAAATCTGTCAGACGAAAAGACTTTTGATTTGATAAATAATTTATTTCCTTCAGAGATGATTTTCTAATTATTTTTTAGCATCAAATATAGTTTTGTTTGGGTTTCAGAACTTTTATTTAACCGTTTAAACTCTCTTAAAATCACTCAGTGTTGTTGGTTGTCGCTCGGTGAAGGATAATGTGTCTGTCTAATGCCTGTTAGCAAAATATCTAAAGAATAGCTGGATGGATTTGAATGAAAAAACCCAATATTTGTAAAAGTTCTGATGGTTCTGTAAAGACGAGCCTGAGCCGGTTCTGAATGTTTGTGTTGTCAGACAAGCTGAAGGTGGTGGCTGCGGGCCTCTTCCTGATCGGAGCAGTCGTGGTTCTGGTCGCTATCATCGGATGTGTCGCAGCCGGCAGAGAGAACCGGTACCTCCTGCTGCTGGTGAGTGGACCAGGTCTCTGTATGGACCAGGTCTCTGTATGGACCGGGACTCTGCCTGGATCCACCGCTCCTCTCTGGGTTCTGGTCCATGACCCTGACAGAAAGTTCTGCTGCTCTTCCTCCTCAGTTTGTGGGCTTCATCATCGTCCTCATCCTCGGTCAGCTGTTCATCTCTCTGGTTCTGCTGATCAACAGAAACCGGGTTTGGACTTCTTTTACTCTCATTTCTGCTTTAATCTTTATTTATTTATTCTACTTGAACGATGAAATATCAATACATAATAATAATAATAATAAATAATAACTTTTATTGTGATTCACATAGGGTCACATTTATACATACAGCCTCAGATATTCTGCACCGAGCTGTTTTATTATTATTGTTGTTGTTGTTGTTGTTGTTGTTATGATTATTATTAGTCAAGTCAAGTCAGATTTATTTATAAAGCATTTAAAACAGGAGCTGTTACTAAAGTGCTTAACAAAAAGATCACAGCATCAAATAAAAAAACAAGAACAAAAGTTATAATTACAGCATCAGGAATAAAAACATAAGCACAGAATCAGAACCAGTGAAATACTAACTCGGTGTTAAATGTCAGTGGATACAGGTGTGTTTTCAGGAGAGATTTAAAAGCAGAGACTGAAGTGCCCTGTCTAATGTTCGGGGGCAGATTGTTCCAAAGTTTAGGGCCCACGACTGAAAAAACCCGATCTCCTCTGAGCTTCAACCAAAAGCAGCTGGTCAGAAGATCTCGGTGCCCGAGGAGGAGCATGGTTGAAGAAGCTCCGAGAGTTATGAGGGTACAAGACCATTAATGCACATTTAAAGGTCAACAGGAGAATTTTAAAATCATTCTGACACACAGGGAGCCGGTGAAGGGAGGACAGAACCGGTGAATATAATAATAATTATTATTATGTTAAATTACATTCTGTAAAATAAACTGAGTTTGTAGAGACTCGGTGGATTCAGAGTTTTCAAGTATTTAGTGGTGTTGCCCTCAGAGTCATCGCTGGGGTGACTCTCAGCTACCACCAGCCTCTGGCCTTCAGGTAAACTGTAAATGTGGTTTAAGTCCTGACGTGTGTGAGTGTTCCTGCTGCTGTTGGAGCGTGTCTCGCTCTGTTTGGTTCAGACTGAGCAGAACCTGAGCTGGACCGTGGACGGGATCATCTCTCAGTACGGACCCAGCAGCAGCAGGCTCAGCAGGCTGCTGGACGACGTGCAGACACACGTGAGTCTGAAGAGTCTGCTCGCAGCTCCACCTCTGAGCTGCACCTGAACACGTCTTGTTCTGACCGCTCGGCAGGCCCAGTGCTGCGGCAGAACCGGGCCGGCCGACTGGCTGACGAACTCCTTCATCCAGAGCCTGAACCTGACGAGTCCACAGGTGCTCCCGTGCTCCTGCTTCAGGTCCCGGCTCAGCTTCAACTCTCCGTGGTGCTCGGAGAACGCCAGCTTCACGGAGCCGCACTTCGGACGAGGCAACGGAACTTTTCAGCAGGTAAGAACGTCTCAAACGACCCTGGGCTCAGTTTCTAACAAACGATCCTTTGTTCTTTCAGCAGCTGATCAATAAAACAACGAGAGCCCGTTAGAGCTCAGAGTGTCGAGAACGACTCTCAGCTACTACCACTCCAGCTTCAGCTCCGGACCTGTCAGACTGACACACTTGCAATCATTTATGTGTTGGCTGTCGTCAGTTAGCTGTGGCGGCCATCTTGAATTTGTTTGGCTCCAAAAGGTGAAGATTTGTGATGTTCATCCAGGAATGACTTCCTGAGAGATTCATTAAAATCTGTCTGAGGGTTCATAGGATATTTTACTGACAGAAGCAAACAGAAGCATCAACACGATGCCTCTGGTGGCGGCTATAATGAATGTTGTGTACATGAATCATTTATTGTTTATAAACACACCTCGTGTATTTAATTAATTGTTTTTGTTTATTTGTTTACTCCGTGTTTATTTGTGCTTTTATTTGTTTATTGGGCGTGCGTTAATTGTTTATTGTGTGTGCTTTTTGTGT